AGTTGACTAAATAAATATTATATGACTAAATGTCTAAATAGCTAACTAAATAAATATTATAAGACTAAATGACTAAATAGTGGATTAAATAAATATTATATGACTAAATGTCTAAATTAATAATACAATAGAATCATTCTATTGTATTATTAATATAGATTTTATTGTAATTTTGAAATAAGTTATTTCAAAATTACAATAAAATCTATATTAAATTATAATAAAAATTAGTTTATAATACATATGTATAACTTTTTGCATAAGTAAAAGTAAAGTACAGTATTTATATTTATTATAGCATGTTTACCAAATTATAACATAAAATAGTTATAATATAATATATATAAACAATAATGATAGCTGATAAATGACGAAACTTTCAGCATTGACAAATGACACAACCTTTTATTAAGTAATTTCTAAATAATGAATTAATAATTAACAAAATCTCTGATGATTGGCAAAACCTATGACGAATTGACAAAACATATAATGAATTGACAAAACCTATAACAAATTAACAAAACTCTTGATAAATTAATTTGATAATATAATAATATACAGTCAACTTTCTTTTAATAATTTATAGTTATTAATAGGTTATAGAAAATAACTAAATTTGTACTAGTTAATCAGTATCATATAGCTAAAGGTTATGTGATATAGGTTAATCTTGCAAATTTAGTATTTATACAATTATATACAATAACTATTTTATTGTACAGGTTTGATGTAAAATCTTATATCAATAAATTAATAAAAAAATATAGATTGTTACATAAGACCTGTACAATAAGTTTCTTTATAACAATATCTAAATATGTCAAATTTTTTTAAAATAATACTAAAAAGTTTTATTAAATTATAACTAATATATTTATTTTTGTAAGCAATACAAACTTCTAAAAAGAAAATTGTCAATTAGAGAATATAAGATAATTTTCTTAAGCTTTATAATGATTAGTAAAATGAAAATAAATTTTTTTTCTAACTTGCAATTATATCAAGAGTAATTATATTGAATCTGAACATATATGAAAGAAGTAAAAATACTTGAAAATTTATATTTAGATCAACCTTAATGCATTAATTAAAAATAATATAAGTAAAATTTTATATATAATAAAGAATATATATTACTATAACCTTGAATACTAATGTTCTAATCTAAATTTCTACTTTTGTTTATAAAATTTAATTCTTTTTTAATTTGTGTTACTTTCAAGAATAGCTTTCTTATGCTTATTATCAATATTTATCATATAAGTAATAAAACTTTATAATAAAAATAACAATAATTTAAAAAAAAATTTAAGATTCTGAATATCTAAAAGTTGTTATAACAATACATAAAGAAGAGAGAACTTATTTTTGTAAGTAATACAATTCAAAAAAGAGTATAGCTAAGACAAAGTGAATTTTTGATGATTAATAAATGATTAACCAATCAGATTATAAAAATTTAACTAACTCAGATTAGTCTAATAAAACAAAACAAGTAAAAAAGACAAAAAATACAAGAAATAGTAGTCTAAACTATTTTGGTATACTAATAAAAAATATAGCAAAGAAAAATTTTACATGTAGACCTTTAATCTAATTTCAAAATAGCCCAATCCTAATATCTAATTAAATTTTAAAACCATATTGCTTTAGCTATCTTCAAAAAAGAAAATTTAATTTTGTAAACAAAATATATAAAAATAAAATTTTAGAGTTTGAACATTAGTATTGTATATTATAGTAGTGGATTATTTATTATTATATGAATGTTATTAAAAGAAAACCTGCATATCTAAAAATAGAATTATGGATACAATGGGAGTGTAGACTTTTTTATTTAATTCAATAAAAATTACATATAATTAAAAAACTTATAAGTTGTAACATTCTTTTAATTATATGTTATTTTCATTGAATCTATTAAAAAGTCTGAACTCTGTTGTATTTATAATTCTATATTTAGATGTGTAAGTTTTCTTTTAATGATACTTTTATATAAAATTTTATTTTTATTATTTTTAATTAGTGCACCAAGGTTGAATATTTTTTTTTCTTATTTAAATTTGCATTCTCTGACTAGCAGTTTCCTTTTTAAAAGTTTGTATTTCTTATGAAGATAAGTATATCTGTTATAATCTAATGAAGCTTTTTAATTAAATAATATTACTTTTAAAAAGTTTTAATATATTTAGAGGTTATTATAAGAAGGTTATTGAAAAAAAGTTGACTATATATCATTATGTTATCAAATTAATTCATTAAAAGTTCTGTTAATTCAGCATAAATTTCATCAATTCAGCATAAATTTTATCAATTCATCATATATTTTATTAATTCATTATAGGTTTCATTAATTGTTAAATGTTTTATTAATCATTAAGGTTTTGTTATAACAAAACCTTAACAAAACCATTTATCATTATAAAAATAATTTTATTAAGCATTATTAATAAGCAATACAATGTTGCCTTTATAACTTTCTTATGCTTTTATGTTTATTATATTTTTAATTTACTCATAATTATTATTTTTCAGATTCTTTTGTATAATATATTATTGTATTACTATAATTACCTCAACAAATATCATAATACTAAGATATTATTCTTAACTATATGATTAACCAAGCTATACTAAACTTTATAATATAACATTCATATAATTGGCTAATTTATGTTAAATCATTAACCAATTAAATTAATTGATAAATTAAATTTGTAAGCTTTTATTATTAGTAAAGCTTTGCATTTAATTTTATATTTAAAAACATAATTCTATTGTATTTTCAGTCCTTATAACCTCTATTAAAAATGCATTATAATCCTTAATTTATATAATTAATAAAACAATTAATATACAAGGCATATAATAAGAATTAAGTTAATTATTATTATTTTTTTTTTTTAATATTAATGATGAGGCTATGCCTTTAACTTTATTGAAATTCAATTAAAGTTTTTATAAAAAAAAGCTTGCTTTTAAGTTATATATAAAGAATAAAAACTCAGACATATAATCTGTGACCTAAATCTAAATTAATTATTATTAAAATAACACACAACCAATATTATTATATTATATTTTTTAAAATTAAAACTTATATATAACTTCTCAATTAGTCTTTTTAGTTGACTATTTTTAATATTTAAATCTATATATATAGCTAGTATAGTAATAAATAATAGAATATTTGCTTTTAAATAAAGTTCTTGAGGATGTTGATTATTTTTTAATTATTTTTTATAATAAATATAAGCATTCTTTCAAATCTAGAAATAGTTTTTATAGTAATTTTTTTATTAATAAAATGTTATATTCTTAAAAAGTACTTTAAACTGTATAAATAAGTTACATAGCCAATTAATTTGCATTAGCAAATTATACAAATATCTGACTATTGCTATGAATACTAAACTCATTTTAATAATTAATATGTAGTATTTCTATGATGATGATTCTATATCTAATTGCCAATTATTGATTATTAAAGAGTAAAGCTCTATTAATAATCAGTAATATAAAAAAAGAAAATAAATTTTGATCTTAAATAGAAATTTATTCAAACATTTTTAATGATAATAGCAGATTTTCTTATGTTTATAAATTTTTTGAATTCATTATGGCAGAATTCTTTTCTTTAATTTTTTTTATCTTAGCAATCTCTTCTTTATATTAAAGATGTCTAAAGTGATTCTTTAATTATAAAGATTTCCAAACACTTTAATCAATATATCAAAAAATGACATAAATAAATTTTACTTAAGGAAGAATATTTTAAGTATAATAAATATTTAATTTAAATATTAATTATAATTTGATAAAGTTTATTTTAATTTGCAGACTTTTTGTTATAAAAATCTTTTTTATATACTTGGCTTATCAAAATTTACAATTAATTGAGATTATTCAAGTAACTTTGTCATAAAGCTAATTTTTATTATCAATGAATAAATTATTATTTTATTTATTATATTAAATGTTTTTATAAACAATAAAAAAATATCAAAGCCTTAAAAAATCAATTCTAAATGCTTGCTAGCAATAAATTTACTATTCTGCCAATAATTTTTTTTTTAGATGTCACTAAAAGAAATCTGCACATCTAAAAATAAATTTTTTTATACAACAAAATGTACAATCTGATCTGAGGCATAGCTAATCACATACCAAAATAATTAGAATAATCAGTTGCAACATTCTTTTAAACATGTGTTTAGAATTGAAAGCTTATATTCTGTTTTATAAAAAAATTTATTTTTAGATATACTAGTTTTCTTTTAGTAACATTTATTTCATACAATAGTTAAATATCAATGAAGACATAAATCTAATAGCAATGGTATTTGATAAATAATGTATCACTTATTACATTTACTAGCTAATTGTATTATATCAAGAATAATATTCAAGAAAACTTTAATTACATTATAATTAGTATATTTGAATTGTTATCAAAAGATTTATATATAATGTAATTGTAGTTATATACTGTCACAATCCAAAATAGGATTGTCAATATTTCATTTAAGTTACATTACATAATGAAGTAATAATATATAGTAATTATTATAGCACATAGTATATAGAGCATGATTAGTAGATACAGCACATAAAGCATAATTAATAGATAGAGCACATAGAGCATAATTAGTAGATATAGCATAATCAATGTAATTAGTAGATATAGCATATAGAGTATAATTAGTAGATATAGTGTAATCAGTGTAATTAGTAGATATAGCATATAGAGTGTAATTAGTAGATATAGTGTATAGGAAAAAGTATATAAGTAATGTGGTTATAATGTAATAAAAAAAAAGTCTTACAGTATATCTAATAAAGAAATACTTACTCTTAGTACTCACCCAAATCCCACACCTCTTTTAAATACTAATTCATCTGATGTTATACAAGAGATGTTTGTTTACCCTATGAATAGAGAGTTTTAGAGTCTACAATTTCCATAATATGACAATACTATTATAGTTATTAGCTAATCACATCTGAATTGAGGGTTGAGAACACTCTATATTATATTTTATGCTATTTTGTCTAAATTATTATTTATTTGACTTTATGTATTAATTTTAAAGAAGTTGTATCATAATTATGAAATTAATTTTATAAAAATTATATAATAATTGTAAAATTAATTTTATAAAATTATATAAAGTTAGAGTAAATTAATTTATGAATATTTTAGTAATAAACCAAATATATATTAATACTATAAATTTTTGTTTTATTTAAATTTATAAAACATTTTTCAATACTTTTATAATCAACTAAATTCGGAATTTTTTGCAGTATAGATAATGCTATTAATAACATATATTATTAATTAATTATTTTAAAATACATATTACCTGTATTGCAAAAGATTTTAAATTTAATTATCAAGAATCAATTCAAACTCTGTAACAAATTTATCTTTATCAAATTCTTCAATTTTATCATTATTCAATTTCTTATCCAAATTATTATTATCATTAATATTTTTATTATCATTAATATTTTTATCATTATTATTTAGCTCAATATTATTTAAATTTATTAAATTTTCTATTTCTAGATCTTGAGCTTCAATTTCAAAATTAGCAAAATTCTCAGATTTGTTCAAATCATCAAAATTCCCTTCCTTATTATCTTTAAAAAACAAAGCAAGGTCCTGAAAAATAGCCTATATTTCCTCTTCTGTTAATTCTATTCTATAATAACTTAATTCTTGTTTTGCATTTGATATTAAATAAGAACCTATTTTTCCTATTGATTCAAAATTTTTTGTTTTTAACTTGTTATATTGGTCTTCTAAAATTAATTTACAATGTAATCATATATAATCACAACTTGCTGCATAAGGATGTACTAAAAACAGTTTAATAACCAAAGAAGAAAGTGGATCTAATTTATCTTTAATACCATTATCTGTAGTTTTTTATTATCGAATTGAGCTATCAATAACTAATATATAGAATCCATTATAAGATTCTTCATTGCAAGCATATTTATATAATTGTGTCTTTAAAATCTCTAAATCACCCTTTTAGCCTTTGATCCAACTATTTTAGTTCATAAATGGCCTGCAATTCTAGCTACTCTAGCAAATTGTGATTGTTTAATTTCAGCACCTATATTTTTTAATAAATATATATATTTAAAAAAAATTTTAAATAATAATAAATATTTAATAAATTAAAAACAATCTCGATATTTAGGATGTAAATAATATGTCAATAAATATTTGTTATAGACAAATGTATGAACTCTTTTATTAAAAATTGAAACACATTTTTAATAAAACAGTAAATTTTGATTTTGAAAAATATTTTTAATAGCAATAGTTAATTTAATATAATCTAAATAACAGTTAGCCAAATTGGTCATTTTGCTTTTAAAACATATGATAGTATTACTAATTAGTTTTAAAATATTAAAAATATCTAGAATATTGTTAAAAAATCCACAAGATTTTATATATATTTTGACAATTTTTTCAGTTTTGTTATATATGTTTTAATCTAAAATCTTTAAATATATTTATTAAAATTATTAAAATAATATGCAGAAGACTGAGATTATCACAGTCAGGTGCAATGTATAGAAAAGACTACAGTATCTTTTACAGCTGTGCAAGCTAAGCTTAAAATAATAAGCAACCTTGCAGAAACCCATTACCCATTCTTGAATTTCAACTTTTCTTCTAATTTCAAGAATTCTTTTTGTTACAATATCTTTCTAATTCACTATAATCTTCTGACTCTACCACCTAATTAAACACTTCTAAATTTTTTTTAACATCTAAAAAATAATCTATTTAATAAACCATTTAAAATCTCTATCAATACTATACTTACTAAAACATATGTTTATAAAAACTTAAACAATAGTATAATACCAAATCATATACTTTTCTCTAAATTACTTTATTATTAATACTATAACCTACTTATTAAATTATATCAACAATTTTTAATTTCTAATTTATTAACAGATTCTGATTTCTTTAATACTAACAACCCCAATATCACAAATCTTATCTCTTCTATACCACATTTACCTGATACTATTTTAATTAATAATATCTTTTTTCTTCAAACATCTCTTACACCTATAATTTCAATTCTAATAAAAATCAGTTCTCTAAATATTAACAGTTTATTTCAATATTCAAAAAAAAGCTCACTCATTGATATTATTAACCAACATAACTTTGATATCTTCAGATTATTAAAAACTTATTTTAGTTCTAAAGAAGAAAAATTCTTTAACTAAAATCTTCAAAATTATAACAGTTTCTAAAGTTCTTATAAAAATTCTTACTAAGCTGGTGTTGGAATTTTTATATACAAAAGAATCTCTAAATATATTGCTAGAATATACAATTATAATGATCATATAATTGGCTTAAATCTATATTTTAAACACAACTCTATTCATATTCTTCAAATATATCTTCTTACTTCAGAGAAAAAACAACTACATGCCAAAATTTAAGAACAAATTATTTTACTCTATAACAATTTTAACTATCAACTTATAATACTTAGTGATTTTAACAGTGTTCTAAATCCTCACCAAGATAAAAACCCTTCAAAAAATACTTCTACTTTAGAATTCCAAATTCTCAAATACTTAATCAGTCATCAATTTAAAGATATATATTGATTTTTCTTCCCTACAACATTGAACTTTACATTTTTTTGTTTAATCTCTAATAGCAGAATTGACCAAATATGAACAAATATAAATATATCTTAAATTGAATACACTGATATCCTTGAGAATATTTTATCTGAATCAGATTATAAAATTATTATTCTTGAAATTTCTATAATTATCAATAAAGCAAAACCCTCTAAATAACATAAAAGAAAAAACTTTCTTTAAAAATTCTGCTCAAAAGAAAATATTGAAAATTACTTAAATCAAACATCACAAAGTCTTTGCTAATTACAAAACCAAATATCCAACATTTTAAATCAAAATAAACTCAATATAAGCTAGAAGAAAATACTTAAAACACTTACTAAAGCTGCTTTAAAAAACATTACTTACAAAAACATTAAACCAATTCAGGAAATTAAAGATAACAAACCTTTCAAATGATATTTATTTTTTTACAGATATAAACAAATACAATATTTAAAAAACTATCTACAATCATTCAAATTTCATAATCTTCTTATTAAATACAAAACTCAATACTCTAAAAATCTTATTGATAAACTACAAACCTCTAACAACTTAAACTCTTCAATCAAATAAGAATTTAATCAAATTAAATTAGTACTTAATAGTTTTTACTAACAACAAACCCAAAAAGAAATTCAACAAAAAATCAAGAATTGCAACCAACTTTTCTAATTACAATCTAAAAAATTTTTCAAAAACATTCTTGAAAAATATAATAGTATACATATTGATAGACTACTAACAAACAACTCTTTATTAACAGAAGAAGATCTTATTAAACAAGCTATTTACACTTACTTTATTGAATACTTTAATAAAAAACCTTTTCACCAAATTCAACCTACATCTGATTATTACCAACTATACCAACCTTATTCTAAACTTGAAATACATTACCAAAATTTATTCAACAATATCTCTGATAATGAATAGCAAAATACTATTCAGAATCTTCTTCCTTAAAAAACTGCAAGTCTTCTCAAAACAAACTATAAACACATTAAATATGAAGGCTCTATTGGTCAAATTTCTTTCAAATTATTTATCAACAAATATCTTTAACTTCAAAAAATTCTATCTAATTGAAAAACATCTAATATTTTTCTTATTTCAAAAAAATTCTCATAGGACTTTATACTTAATTAAGTTCACTCAATCTTAATTATAGAATCAATGAAAAAATGGTTTACTAAAATCTTTACACAAAGAATAAATTATATTATTAACTCTAATAAACTTCTTTCTAATCTTAACTTTGCTGCTACCAAAAACTCATCAACACATATCCCTATCCAAATTATTAACAATACTATTAAACACTACAAATATTTTAACAAAGAAGCTTAAATAATATTATAAAACATGTTCAAAGCCTTTGATAAAATCAACATATCTTGATTACAGAACACTTGCAAAAGAATTAATATTTTTTTAAAAGGAATCCAACTTATTACTGAACTATATACAGACTACCAAGTAAGTATAATTACTGCACATGGTCTTACATCACCTGTTCATATCAAATCAGATATTGAACAAGGTAAAACATACTCTTCTCTTCTTTGGAAAATTTATTATAATCCAATTCTGACTTATATTCATAATAAATATAATAATCATTTACTTAAAATTACCTTCTTTTTACCACTTGAGATTATTTCTAATATATCACCTTTTTCAATAACAATATCTCCTATGGCTTTCATAGATAACACTGTTTGGTACAGTAAAAACTCTGAAACCTTCCAACAAATTTTTAACAATACACAACAACTATACAATCTTAACAACATCAAAATTAATCTAACTAAATCTGATCTTTTATATATCTCTCAAAATAAAAACAAACTAAATATTACTATATCAACTTTTTATTACAATAATCAAATAATATCTTTATATAAACTACATGAAATTATATGTTACCTTGGTATCTATTTTGATAAAAATGGTTCTACTAAACCAACTTTTGAAATGCTTCAAAACAAAATTGAAAACTTTCTCTCATTAATTAAATATAAAAAACTTATACTCAAACAAATTTTTATACTCTTTAATATAATACTACAACTATTCTTAGAATATCTACTACAGATCTTATCAATATCCAAAATACAACAACAAAAACTCTCATGACTACTTTCAATTATAACAAAAAAAAGTTTCATTTAGCAAAAAATACATCTAATATTTTTTTTATAAATTCATTGTTTTTTTAAACTTCCAACATTTTAATACTCAATTTAAAAAGTTGCAATATTAACAATCAAATATATCTTCTATTTTACTTCACTTCTTAAACATATTGGTAAAACCAGAATTAAAAACTGGCTTACTAAAATATGACAACCACTTTTTCTGCCAAATACACCCTCTAAATTCTCATTAAAAACTAAAAATTTTTCTTTTATTTTTTAACTTTCACTTTACATAACTCTAACATTTATTTTTCACTTAATAAGTTATTAAATTTATCACCAACTAACATTCTTATAATAACAAAAACAATATATAACATTCTTCAATCTAATATTTCTTCCTTTTTAACAAATAGTCTCTATAATAATAAAATACTCTTTATTGAACAAATCACAACTGCTAACAACTTATACCTTTTACCTTGAAATAATATATATATATAAACTATGAAATTTATATATAGACCTACTCTTTCTGATTTACCAAACTTCATAATCTTATTCAAAATAATACTATTCACCAAACATGGCTATATCTTAACTTATCTAATATTAATAGCTTTATTAATTCTCTCGATACAATTACATTCTTTCATCTATTATCATTAAATCAATGGTCTATTCTTTTTAACAATTTCCAAATTCTTTTTACAAAGAATTTATTTAATTTCTTCTCAATCAACAACACTGCTCATGGCTTAATAACCTTGACTTCTACTAACCTACCTATACCAATAGCTCAAACCTTCATTAATATTTCAAATATTAAGTCATCAAAAAAAAAATATCTATTCTCTTTATATTGATAATCATAAAATTCATACACTTATTAATATATTACAACAAACTTTTCTACCACTTATACTAACTCAAACTCCAATTATATATATTCCTAAAATGGAAATACAAATAATACAAAAATACATATCATTTTTCATCTAGCAAAATCAATTTATCAAATTATTTTTATTAGCAAAAAATCTTCTAAACAATACTCATTTCTATATAGATGCCTTAATTATTAATGCTCAA